AATGCAATATGACCTTATTGCTAAGCATTACGTCCACAAAGTGGCAAAAGCAAAACATAATCGAGGAAAAATTGATATGTATAACAGTTTCAACATAAAAGCTACCCCAGAGGTAGGCAGAGCATCTCAATGCTATCCTCTCGTGGGCTATCTTGGCCCAGCCTCTCTGAAACAAAAAAACAAAAAAAAAACATAAAAGCTAGCTTGTTAGTGTGTCAAGCGACAAGCAGAGTGCGAGATCGTAGTTTAGATAAACTTTTTATAGAACTCTGTACGGATTTCGCTTTCTTGAAATCATATAGACATTCTAATATACGATCATTTTGTTATGTTCACACTTTTCTTTGGGGCTTTTTGTTGAGCTCTGTGTAATATATCACTGTGTAATATATCACTGTGTAATATATCACTTCTAAATCAAAACACGTGTCGAGAAGTATTAAAAGGAACACATTGATACTCCTGACCACCCGGCATACACTCCTAATTTAGTTCTAACACTGGTCTTTGGTCGGGCATGTCTAACTAATAACTATTACCTAACTATTACGTTTGGTTAAAAGCATTGCTGAACACTGTGACAAACAATAGATCCGATATATTGATCCAATATTGGCCCAATGGTTAGCTATTATATGATTATGTCATCCAACAATAGTCCGTTGATAATTTTACCTCATGTTCGTCACAGTAAGTGACTAAGCAGTCTGGTCCAGGCTTGTCCGCCGCCGCCGAACGCCGCCGCCGCCGGGTGATTTTGCCACGCCGAACGCCGCCGATACACCCGGCGTACATCGGCGTACGGCGTGCATTTTCTGACTTCAAAATAATTCTGTCTTCATTTGATTTTGAAGGTATCAGTGTTACTGATAGCGATTAGCGGCTAGGGGCAACACACACATGATACACACCTTTAGCTAACTTAACAATATTGATTATACCGTATATGGAATAATCCGAACTACAGTTACTAGCACGCGTTACATCGAAAATTTCATGCTCCTTAAGTTAAATTGTACTGATCTATTATTTTCTAATGTACAATTAGCAATCTGCACTCTGCAGTTTTAAGTCTGCCTATGTTTATATGCATTCACAATTCACAGTGAAATTGTACTCGTGACATGTTCATGTTGTAAACTTTACAGTGTTTTCGCTGCTTTATTTCTCAGTCCCCACATTGTAGATGATCATGCGACATGCACCAGGTATTATAATATCGTATTTGTTAGCATTACATTGCTGACAGTTGAGTGAGTTGACTGCCCGAACTTATCAATTTGTCTCAACTTTTATTTGATAGCAGATAATACCATAACAATATACCAACATCATTTGTTGAAGTTAAGTCTAAATTACCCAAATTAAGTACATATGATCATATTCATATTTCATAGACCTCAATTTAGTTGGCATTGATTTCACGGCTCACGCCGGCGTACGCCGCCGCCGCCGGTGTAATTTTAGTGAAACGCCGCCGCCGATCCATTTAGCCACGGCGGACAAGCCTGGTCTGGTCACATGATGGTAGTTTCAGTAGTACCCTCTTAATGTTTAGTCTGACGTAAGAAAGAATGGATTGTAATGTTACTTCACTTCGTCTTGTAGTGCCACTTTTTAGTTCCTAAAATATATTTAACTAGAAACCCGCTAGTCGAAAGCTTTGTTCGAGGAAATTTTAAAAATCAGTTATGTTTTAATTTCTCTTCATCATACAGCTCTGTTATACAGTAGACATAATGGAATTTATTTAACAATGGCGACAGCGTTGTTAGTATTCGGATTCCCAAAACGATACTTTTTACCGCATCAAAAAATACCAATCACAACCAAAGTTATGAATATAAGTCATAGCGTGAGCGTAAATGTGAGCTAGTTTTGAAGTTATGACGTAGCATACAGCATAACAACGCACGTAGTTAAGATGTTCTTGCTCGCGCACGTGCATTTTTATCGTTGCTACGCAACAGCGCAGTAAACCTTTGCTAAAATAACGCCATTATTCTAACGATTATTTAACCTCACTTCCGACGTTAATTATAAAAAATCTAAAGCCTAAATCAAAATTCTAAGAATGCTATAGCCTATTCCTATCCTTTTTCTACAACCCTGCTAAAAATGGCGAGGTTTCAACTCCATTTGCGAGCTGGGTTTGGCTTCACCAGAGGGTCATTTTGAGGTCGATTTTCGGTGTTTTTTCTTCTATGTCCCCGTCGCGTTGCCGGGGAAATTTCGTCAAGTTTAAAATATTGTATAGATAAGTCTCCGTATAGTAATCTGCCGTTGAAGCCTCTGATTTTTGTGATATTTTATGATTGTTTTGTGATTTTTGTGATATTTTTGTGCAATTTCCCTATATTCGCCGCCTGAGTTTACACGTCATATGATATTCTGCTGGTAAATTAACTTACAACTTTTATCACTGGAAATGGCTCTTTTAACACTAAGTTTACATTTCAGAAACTCTAAATTATGACCCCCTCCTGGCCAGATCATAATGCTAGTTCCAGTACTCAACCACCTGTCAAGCATGTGGCCATACAAATGTCAGACCTTAAAATCGGAGGATCTCTTCTTCTGGTAATTTGTGTCATTTTCATCGTATTCAATGCTCTCATGAGTTGGCTCGTCTACAAGAACTGGTTCAACATCAAGAAGTCCAGATTCTTCAACTCCGTCTACCTCGGACTGGTTCTATCACTGGCTGATTTTGTGTTAGCTGCCCTGGTAGGTCTCCCTTCTTCTTTCCACCTCACATGGGTTAGCTACTTCCGGGAGCAGGCTGCTATGCGGTACTACTCCCTGTACATCGCACCCTTCCTCTTTGAGTACATCTTCCTGTTCCGTGTCTTGATTATATCACTTCTCTCTACGGACAGCTTCCTGCACGTCAAGTTTCCTCTGCGTTACGACGCTTTCTATGAATCAAGAATAAGAGTGCAGGTGGCGTGTCTTGTGGCTGCTATAATACCCCTTCTCTGCAGGACTACTCCTACTCTGGTGAACTTAATGCATTACAGCGATAAGGCACACCCAATGGACTGCTTGGAGTACAACGACCCCACTGCTACAACCTTCGATAAACTTGCAAACTACTCTCACTATAAAACTCCCCTGACGTGTGCAGTTTACCTGTCAAATTCAGCAGAAAGCACCTCAGTTCAAGTGGATGTGATCATCTTAGCCATTATCACAGCTGGGTCCTGGTTAGTAATCGTCCTCACCAATCTCATCGTTCTGGTTTCAGTCATCAGAGGATTACATAACAGGAGCATGAAGAAAATCATGAAGGTTACTCTGGTTATCAGTGCTATTGCTTTCACTTTCGTGCTCACTAATTTCCCCTACGTAGTTGCATGGTGGTTTGAGTATTTATCTCTTCCCTCAAGTGACGGAAGTTTCTCAAATATCACCCCTGCAACGCACCAGCAGCGGTTCTACCTGAGTCTGCTCTCGTTCCTGTCTCTGCTCTTCCATCCTTGGATCTACGTCCTCCGTTTGAAGTCTTTCAGAGATTTACTGACGGGCTTCAAGAGAAAGATGGCCCAGTCCTTCGCTTTAAGATCGTCCCGAAATGACACCAAAATATCCATGAACTCTCTTAATTCAAAACGGATTGGATCCAATTCTGAGAAAGCGCCTGATTCTCCAAAGTCAAACAACTTGATGTACAGGAATGAGGCTTCATTTTACCAGAGAGAAACCACTTCCACTAACATTTACCAGGTCACAACTGCCGTGGCGGATTGTAGGGACTAGAGATGCAGACATAGTCCCCTAAACTGTTAATTAAGTTTATATGCCCTGTAAATTGGAATAATTATAAATGTTGGGACTTTCCTACTGATGTGAAGAGTGAAGGGACACAAAGAGATCATGTGTCGTTTAGCTGCAGAAGTGTAGAAGAGACAAACTATAATTTATTGATATTTGATCGGCTGTCGTTCTGTGTAGAATTTGTTGTCCGATTCAGATGAAAAGAGAATTAGTTTATCTGAAATTTGTTAGTTCAGAAATTATAACTTGTTAATTTCAATTCTATTTAATCTCAACTTTAACAGAATCGAGTCAGTTGCAATTTGCAAATATAACGGTTCTGTAATTTTATTTTTTAAAGATCCTTTTGAGTAGCTTGTAAATATGAAAATCTAAATTTTGAAATCTTGTTATACTAATAACCAACATGAACATTTTGTACTGCTTGAACAAGTTTTTACCGTTCAAATGCAGTATTTTTCATGATATATGAACACACTACACAGTTACCAAATTTTATTTTATCAAAAAATACCTTGACTCTTGTCAAGGGTGTCTCGCATCATATTAAAAATGTATTTGTTCGTTGCATGTTGATGTATAAGATTTTTTAATTTGACGACATATGTTCAGTTATTTGTTTAGCTCGAAATCATAGTATGAATGTGGTAGACCGTGGAATCTGAACTGAACAAAATCCATTGTTCAATAAATGTGAAAAGTCATGTTTTGACATTGTAACTTGTAAGTCGTTCGCCTCTCCATCTCTGCTCTGACGAGAATCTATGCTATTTTTAACTGTCGTCACCGAATTTTCGAATCGATTTACCATTCTTCAACGTCTAATCCCTGATCTAAAACTTTAACTTCCATTGACATCTCATCGAAGGCTAGTTGATGTCAACTGTCAAGTAAATGTTGGGGATAATTTGACTGTTAGCATTTATTCTTTTAGCCATTTGGTATGCATATAGGACGGTACTGCGAGAATTTTCCATAGTTTTAAATCTCACTCTAGTCTACACTCATGTCACATCCCACTATACATGCTAAACGTCCAACTTTCAGGTAAAACGGATAGAGCTCTCAAAACGTTTTTACAATTTGATGACGCATATCAACTTTTTAGCCTGACCAAGAACAGATCTATATTCTATAGGCTATTATAGCTGATATATTTTAATTCTGGGCCATATTGTTTCTGTTGCAGCTTGTATCAGAGCTGACCGTTGATATTAATTCAGTTGGGAAACGAGAAGCTGGTGTCGCCAGATAAGGATTTGCAGCAGCGGTTTGAATTGGCGGTTAAACGTGCCGACCATCTTCAGGAGCAGGTTGGTTCAAGATGTGTAATGATTATAACTCCTCCTCAATCCGGCACACTTACAACCCTTACAATAAATCCAGCCTCATAAATTCAATTGGTAACCAAATAGAGGAACTTGAGCACGACTCCATGTATTGGAAAGATCTTAGTGAAATGCTAACAAGATGTGAGTACATTCAACAAGTCCATATCTCACCATCAAAAACCAATGAACTAAAAGTATTTTCATTAAACGTACGATCTTTACACAAAAACATAACTCATTTCCGAGAAGAAATTCACACGTATCTAAATTACGATATACTGAGTTTCAATGAAACAAACTGCGCTCTAAGTAAGCTACCTAACGGTATTAATGACATACTTCTAGAGGGATTTCATGAGCCGATAATACAGGAACCAGCACGTGCATCTGGCCGTGGGGGTGGACTGGTGTTATACGTAAATAGACAGGTATGTACAGAGGAGCAAATAGAACAGTACAGGCCAAACTTCAGCTGTGAGGAAGAAACAAGTGGTGAATTTCAATTTATAAAAATCCACAACTGCAAAGGTTTTAACAAGACCAAGCTACTAATCAATGTTTACCGCTCACCATCGCGTAATGTTGATAAGTTCATGAAACTGCTAGATAATGTACTTAGAAGCCTAGACAGGCACTCACGTAAACACATTTTATTCACGGGTGACTTCAATATTGATCTAATAAAATACGATAAGGACGTGCACAGTCAGAACCTTGTTGCAACTTTTGAAAACTACGGTTTCGTTCAAATGATTTCAAGGCCCACCAGAATTACAGACCACAGTGCAACACTCATAGACCACGTGTATTCTAATGATATCAAGAACACGGCAAGTTGTCAGGTGCTTACTCTACACGTATCAGACCACCTAGCCACCCTTACTACGCTTCTACTTGGGGACAGAGAGGGGCCATGCGGGAGGGTTACAAGTAAAAAACCAAGTATCAAACAGGCACGGAGATTTGGCGAAGCTAACAATGCTAAATTTCAAAGTTTGATCGAAAGTGAGGACTGGAGTGAAGTGAGTTCACACGAAAATTGTGAAGTACAGTACGAAAAATGTTGTGAAATTTACACCAAACATTATGTTGAGGCATACCCCTTGAACAAATCCAGGCCGCGGCGTAAAAATGAACGAAGAGATCCAAAACCTTGGATTCTTCCCTGGCTAGAGGATGCGTGTGCGCGAAGGCATAAGCTCCACCACCTAAAAATCACAACTTCAACCAAGGCCAATGATGAAGCGTATGAAAAAATTGATAAATTCTGCAACAAGCACATTGACTTAGCTAAAGCAAAATATTATAAGAAATTTTTTGACGAGCATTGTGAGAACTCTAAAAAGCAATGGCAAATGATTAACACGCTGTTGAACAGGAAGTTGAAAGAAAAAAATTCTATAAAACTGAAAGGCGACGACGGATCTATTATCAGCAATGGCACCGATGTTGCAGCAAAATTTAACAACTACTTCTCAAATATAGCTTCAAACATTAAAGCACAGATCAGTGCTAGACAAACTTTTGATCCTGGGGGTTTTAGTAGATATCTTAGGAACCCAACATCGAATTCGATGTATCTTAGGCCGGTAACGCCAACTGAGGTGAGTGAGGTGATTCTAAAATTTAAGAATAAGTCAACACTGGATACCAAAATTGGGCCGATGAAAGTCGCAAACCATGATAGCAAGTTCACCGGTGTGATTTCTACTATCATAAACTCATCATTTACACAGGGCATATTTCCAACTGCTCTTAAAACTGCACGCGTAATCCCTATCCACAAGGGAGGTAGTAAGACAGATGTCACTAACTATAGACCCATATCTCTTCTTAGCTCATTCTCAAAAATTTACGAAAAGTTAATGCACACTAGAGTCCTTGAATTTCTTGATAAAAACGGCTCTCTGTTCGAAAGCCAATACGGCTTTAGACCGGGGATGTCATGCGAGCATGCTCTTCTTAATGCACAGAACTCTATCCTTCATTACCTTGGCAGGAAACAAATTGCGGTGCTCCTACTGTTAGACTACTCCAAAGCTTTCGACCTACTTGAACATAAAATTTTGCTTAAAAAACTGGAACACTACGGAATTAGAGGTATAGCACTAAGCTGGTTCGACTCCTATCTTCACGATCGTCATCAGTTCGTCACAGTCAACGGGGTTGATTCCAGTCCCAAGACGATCAATTATGGTATTCCTCAAGGCTCTATTCTGGGCCCCCTACTCTTCGTCATCTATATAAACGACCTCCCCGGAATCTCAGACCTGGCCAAGTTCATACTTTACGCCGATGATGCAAATATTATAGTCACGGGCCATAACGAGGAAGAAATTCAAAGTAAGCTCTCCATGATTGCAACACTTCTAGTGAATTGGGTAAGTAGCAACGGGCTTTCTTTAAACCTGAAGAAGACCCACTATATGGTCTTCAGTAACCGTAAAGTAGATTATTCCAAAATAAGTCTCAACATATCTGGAACAAACATTGAACGGGTTACTGAGGCACGGTTTCTGGGTGTTATAATTGATGAGAAACTAACATGGTGTAAACATATCACAGCGGTAAGATTAAAAATGAGTAGGTACATAGGCATCATGTTCAAATTAAAACGACATCTGCCCCTAAAAGTGCGACTACAACTCTACCATAGTTTTATTGAGGCACATGTTAACTACTGCTCGTTAGCCTGGGGATTCGCGGCAAAATGTCACATTGAGACATTATTCCGTAGACAAAAGCAAGGAATGCGGATGGTTATGCCAGGATATGTAAATTACTTTTACAAAGACGGCAAATTGCCAGCTCACACCAGAGAAGCATTCTGCAAATTTGAGATTTTGACAATACACGGCATCATCGTAAAGAATGCGCTTACATTAATGCACCGCATGAAGCACTTTCCTAACACAGTAACTGTATCAATTAGAAATTTGTTTCCAGATAACATACCCACGCATGGTTCAAATCATGAGAACAGTAGCGAATGGCTAGATACGTACAATAACCGATGTTTCAAAGCATCCATCTTTTTTAAAGGACCTTTACTAGCTCTAACAGACACCAACAAGAACATCACGTCCCTACCTAGCTTATTTTCAATAAATATTTACAAATCGAACGCAAAACGCGTGCTTCTTGAGCAACAGTCAACACTAGCTAACTCAGAGGACAGCTGGCCAGCATTTCTGCTACACAACGTACCTGGTTTGAGGAAGTCCAATAGATGAGGGATGATTGAGTAATACAGCGACCAATAATCGCTAAATCATGACATCATATCATAACATAACATAACATAGGACGACAGCAAACACACAATAAACGAGCAGTAATAAACAACGTTCGCTTAATGGACTGACATATTTCAGCATATTTTTCACTGCCAAAGCGCTGATAACAGCAAGCCTTACCCCACTCCGCGCGGCTTTTTAATGCACTAAATCTTAAAGATAATTCTCGCGATAAAATTTTCATCGTCACGCTTGAAAATTTCTAGAAATTAGAATAGCCGTATATTATAACAAACTATAGCAAGCAGAATTAAAAGATAAAAGGTTCTGGGACTTGAGCTTGAGTGGTACAAATAAAATGAAAGGCATGCTAATCATGCTCACGTACTGTAATGTGTCGAGAGTTTTTTTTAATTTTTACTATTTGACAAAATAATTGATCTTTTTAGTGTGAGTGTGATTTCAACTTTGAGTTTGAAAATATTTTGAAACGACTTTCGATATTATTGATTATTATATTTAATAAACTGTCTCAAAGCCCTTAGAGGTGGCTCTATACGGGTCTTTACAACAACAAGTCGACAGTCGTAACTAATTTCATCCAAGATACCACTCATATGATCAACTTAATATCAGTCAGCGGAATGGCATGCAGACTTGATATGATCTGCTTACCATTATGTCACATGTAGTTAGCGGACTGGTCCGCAGACTGGCCAACGTTGAATGTACAACTACATCAACATGGCACATAGCGCACCGTGCTGAACTATTGAAAGTAGAAGTGATTCGATGAGACGGAATTGGGATTGGAGCTTGGTTGTTCTTTTATCAATAAATAAAATCTATAGACCATGATATGAACCTAAATGCTAAACTTCTCCCACAATTCCTTGATTTGTGTTTTACTCCGTTTTACAGTAAACAAGCTATCATACCAAAAAAATCAGGTCGATACGATGAGGAAAACGAACAAGCGAGTGCAAAAGACGGTAGAGGATCTGTGGGCGGAAAATACGCAACTCCTCAAAGATCTCAACCGGTCTGGTCCGGGCCAGCTACCTTCAGCTAAAAAACGGGAAATGCCTAAACGACCTCAATCCAAAACCAGTAAAAGTAAAAACCGTGGTGACATGGACATCCCAAACGTTATTGGATCAGCTGACATTTGAACTTTATTTTATTTTCCAGGCCACTGTTGACTGTCCAGATTTGAGATTTGATATTTGAATACTTGTTCATTGTAATTGTAAATAGATCTGTAATCAGTATTACTGTTACACTTACACTGTACACGAACGAGATGTCAATATACTTTTCTCTGTGGCCTGGATGTTGGTTCTTCGAACTTATAACTTAATTACGAGTTAAAAATTGACTCTTCCGTTAAATGAGAACTGCTACTTGCTACTATATTTAGCAGTAGCACCTTTGCTTTTCACATTTAATTGATCGTTTGATTTCGAAGGTATTATGTATAAATATTATGCATCATGCATGCAATAATTTAAATGAAAATACAACTGATAATGTGATATTATTATTAATCTTTTGTCTTTGGCGCGCACTATGTGTATGTCTCTACAAAAAGCACATCCAAATTGATACGTATTTGTACTTGTAGGTTTATAACCTACCAGGACGCGCGCCGAGTTGGACTCGTCGACGGAACAGATATTTTACGAGTATCACCCGTTACGAGTATCACCCGTTAAATACGTATGAAATCAGAAAAAGTCCCTTATACCTGTTACTGTTAGTGTTAAGTTCACATAGCCATGTGTATACGCGTACTGCGTGACGCGCTTGTTTCACAAGCGCTTGTTTCACAAGCGCTACTGCAAGCGAGAGGGCTCTGGTTATGGGTTAGAGCAAAGTGTTAAATGTTAACTTGCTTGACTGAAAATTAAACTAAGAATCGTCTGAGATCATTGCCGCACGTTGTGGGCCACGTCGTGGCCTTTGCTACAACATTGCTCTAACCAGTACCAAAGCCCTCGCGCGCCCACCGAACGCGGAATAGTACGCGAAGACTGATCATGGTTATACGACTTTAAGGAACTAAAAAACTGCATATACATACTCTTGACGGATGATACTCGTCTAAATTTCTTCGAAGTAGCGCGCGCCGCTTTCTTCTCGATGGCAAGTGCTACGTAGCTACGTAGCTAAGTAGCGCGCGCCGGGCCAGATCATTAACAATGGTCAATATATACTCACGCTAAGGTGCTTTTAATTTTATAGAGAAATACGTCAGTAGCGTTTATGGGCTTGTTGTTAAATTATTTTTTACTGGGCCGCGCTCAGCCTGTCATTCCGCCAAATTTCTATGAACATGATAGCCTGAGATCCCCAAGTAAATTATTTTCTTTCAAAAGTATTCAAAGTGATTTGTATAAGTGTATATATTAATTCTGAATACATTGCAGAATTGATTCACGGTGTCAATTCTTCGCATCTCGCCGATTTGTGGTTGCAAGAAGCATTATTGGATGCGCGCGTGGCCCAGTAGTGCATCGCGCTACAAACGATTGTCTACAGACCAGTTTTTGAATTTTGTAATCTCGATATTCACAAGTAAAGTTATTACCCGTCGAAAAATTTCGATTTCATCATAAAATACATACAAAATTTCAAACACGCCAATAATTCTGACACCCTGCTGTACATATATATATATATATATTTTGTCATGACTATTTTTTGCCGTCATGTGATTTTTGATCCTTTAGTATTTTTAGTGCAGAAACAAATTTAAAATTTTATTCTTTATTTTACAATCATAATATAATAATATTTATAAGCCTCCGTTTTGAAAGTTTTAAATTTTAATATATTAACATTTCTATTTAAATTCAATTTAATGTATAAGTCAATAACTGCCCGCCAAAGCCGCGCATTCTTGAAAACAGGATTAAATTGTTCATGATTATACGACAAATAGAAATAAATTTAAAACTAGATCCGTGGTTTTTTTTAATAAATTACAAATTATAATTTTACCTAAATCCAAAGCCAGCTTTGTAAAATTTACTATTAGATCATTATATAACGTCAATTCTCAATATTTACAATGCAACATTTCATTAATCTACATACAAGCGTACTCCAGCCCCTGCACGCATCTGTTCTTATGCGGCGCGGCTCAAGCCGCGCACGCACGTATTATTTTATACTTTTTGCTTTCTAATAAATATCGTGTCAATGTGTACGTCTAAATGTTCATGTTTTGTGTAAACCGAATCCAATTGAGATTAGTGACAACGATAAGGACCCAAGTGCCTGTACGGCTTTTTCGGACCCCTGTGGACCACTACTCTTGAAATCGCTCTACAACTATTGAACATTTATAACTGTTATATAATATATAACGTCATTTGACAATTATTATCATTAATCTACAATCTAACTGTCTTGCTGAGGGAGAGGAGTAAACGCTTCACAAACTAAACTACTTACAACATACAATATTTAAAACCATCAACACGGTTATAGTTAATATCAAGGGCCAATTTGGTATACCGCTATTCCGTTGTAATATTTAGTATATCTTCACATCTTAATACTATAATGAAATACAATAGGATACATGTTTTGAGAAAGAAAGGTTGGTCCGATTATTAACAAAAGTAAACAAAATTCCATCAGGGACTCCACGGAGTCGAAAAAGGTACACGGCTGCTGTCTGGTGCTGCTAGGCATTTATTGATCAAGATGTTTTATTGTATCGGTTTTTGATGATTCTATTGTTCGTGACTAATCAAGTTCTAAATGGGGGTATAAAGTGCTGCTTAAGATACTTCGTCATCTCATGTCCAGTATAATGAATAAGATAGTAAACAATACAGTTTCAGTAGTTGACCCATACAGTTAAGTCCGTCATAACTCACAATTGTTTAATCATCTGTCAATTGTCAAAGTCGTTGTGTGTTTAGTCGCTGAGTTAGCAGTAAGATAAGTTGTTACGCGCGCGCGCGTTAATCCCGTCGACGTGAGATGTGACAATGAAAACGCTACAGAATTATTGTTTTCGCGCGTTACGTAGAATTTACTAGTGTGTAATACTGGTTAACACTGGGTGTACACTGAGTGTAAGTCGCTAAGTTTCATATACGAGCCGTTGAATATTTCCAATTTTGAGTGTATCGTGAGCATGTTTTACAGTGCAATTGTTCGGTACTAGTGTGTTTTACTGTATTTAATGACTAAGCTGTCCCCAACCACACACTATGGCCATGGATTCCTCCTGCAAGAGAACCCCTTCCTGCCTGAATACGTAGTCCATATGTTGATACCATAGCTGTTCTGCATAGTAGTTCTACAGTTATAATACAAAGCTGTAATAAAGAACAGACCATTGCCCCAGTCCGGCAAGGAAAGACGTAGCAGGTAATCCCATCAATCATGGACAACCGTGAAGTCCCTTTACTGGGCGGTGCTCAGCCTGTCATTCAGCTGAATCTCTATTCGGCTATGTGTTTATGAACATTATAGCCTGGGGTCCCCAGGAAAAGTCCCTCAGATGCTTCGTTCAATACGGTTAGCATCCGTAAATCTGCTGGTGTTGGTAACTTGGTAGATTGTATGATATTTGTCCCAACAAATGTTGTTTGGCACCCTGTACTCTGTAAAAGAGTATGAGGTTTACGGCTTAGAGATTTAAGGCTTTGTTGGTACAGTGAACGCTTGAAAGGACTTGATCAACGAGTTGATATAGGAAGATTCAAGTATCAATTTGCAAAACCTGTAGGCTTAGTTCTGAGATGCATGAAGTTTCATACTATTCACTCAAGGAATCTTGTGGCTTTGATTATTGTAATCGGAAGGTACCAAGTTTGAGTCCTGCTGAGCCCAGTGGCATAAATTTAAAAAGTGGCTAGGAATCCAGCCTGGAAAGAAAAAATGGCTATAATAAATTTTTAAAACGGCTATAAATTTTTCGGCCGCTCCGCGGCCGGATAACGATTTCATTTCACTTTGCTAGTTATATTACAGAGGTTTAGTTATTCATTAGTTATTCATAATTGCCAAAAAAGTGGGGGGAAAATTATCCTTTCCGGGTCTCAAACTCGCAATCTGCTAATGTAGAGCCGACGCTTTAACCAATTAGGCCACAATTTCATGTAATATAACGTAATATGGTAGTAGTAGACTACCAGAAGTACTACTACCGGTAGTATTAGATTCTTACAGATTCCTGGGAATCTTAAGAATAACCAGGAATATTTTCTGGCGCGTTTTATTGCGCGTTATTTGTCCCAGGAATCGACAAGAATCTAGCTATATCTCATATATGTTTAATGCGCTCGATTCGAACGTCTTAAGAATTAAGAACCCCTGAGAGCGACTGATTTTAATTGAATTTAAATATTAACTAATTTACAAAAATCAGTCGGTGGCTGTGGAAATATTGTGGCTAGGAATTAGATTTTTAGATTCCTCACTTTATGCCACTTGGCTGCTGAGGCCATCAATCCCAGGGAGTACTGTGAGCTAAGGATATCATTAGGTCTTTGTAAGCTGTTCCAGTCGACATCTATAAAATTGTGATGTGAAATAATTCATCATAACATTACCTTTATAACAAAACAATACTAGGCTGTTAATTTTGCCACTTTTTGTTTTTAAATCCATGATCAAACTTATACCTCATGTATAGCTGGTAGTAGTAGTAAATGAATACGCTCATATCTTCTGCCTTTGACCATGAATCAGAGAATGTATTGGGCTTGGATGCTGAACCTACAGTATCTGAATCTGTTGTTCAGAAGTTGAACTTTGATGAGGTATAGTTCACGAAGACTGACTAGCTTTCTCTTTTGATAAGCCCCTTTTAAAAGTATTTTGAAATTTGAAATTGGATTCACACTTAATAACGAGAAGGAAGCTTCTGTCAATGTTAGTTTATCATGTTGGTAAACATTTCAAATTTTCTGCAAATTATTATAATAGTTCTATCTTTCATCTGGTGCTAGCAAGTAGCAACAGGCAGCCATCAATAGCAATAATGTAACCAAATTATTATTTTTCAGGAGAGTATGAACGATGAGGTTCGTACCATGGCCACCGAAACTCACAGTATAGACTCCCATGAATTGGAAACTGACCCTGTTTTGGAGACCACTTCTATGTCCACAAACGGAAATGGAGAGTATCAAGTTGTGGGAAATGAGGAGGTAATTTGAAGTGTTATCAGGGTTAATTATGTTCAAGTTTTGATTCAATTCTTTTTTCAAGTGTATTGAGGTTAAGTTTATAACTGTGTGTCATATGTTCTCTAAATATTTGTTTGATTATTTCAACCCACCCTTAAAAATGCTTAGATCAAATTAAAAGACTATTTAGTATTTGCATGTAAAAGTTATGTCATGTAAAATTCATGTAAAATTCGATTTTTCGAATATTACATAATAATAATATTACACCAAAAAATCAACAATGTTTTTTCAGACATCTGGCACAGTTGAGTCTGGCAATATGGGGATTTTGTCAGATTTCAGTGACCAGGCCAGTACCTCATCTGTTTCAACCCCTATTGCTCCTGAAATACTTGTAAGTCCCTTGATCTGCAATTGCCTTGCAAGACGCAAGTCTTCCTCGAATTTCACCAGCTTGCTCAATTTAGTGTGCAGACTATATTATAATATTATAATGTAATCACTGTAGACATACTGTATACACAAGCACTGGAGAACATTTCCGGTGTGGTTACTAATTTTTGCTAATTGCAAGGTTATTGACACTAGCTCTCGTTTGTATATTGTTTCTGTATGGGATTATGGATCCATATTCGTTAAATGTATGTCCTTGGACCTTTAGAGTATAATTCACAGGACTGAATATAAGTTGCAAAACATGTTCCTGTTTCTGAAGAAAAATGTATAAATGATATGTTCAGGGGAGAATGGATGAGATACAGGCATGTATGATTTCTCTATCTGACATGGAGAAGAAATCCAGTGCTGCCACGACCAGCACTACTAAAAATGACATTTCAAACAGGTATACGAACATTTTCATAAAATATAAAAAAAGTGGCATTCCAAAAAAACCTTTTAGATAATTATTGATAAAATATATTATTATCAATCATAATATTATATTGAATCAAAATTAATAATCAATAATTTGTATAGATATAACTAATTGGTAAGCCTATTTTCTATTTCAGTGAGGATTTATCCATTATTTTGAAGAGAATTGTACTTTTGTGTGATTCAGCTGATAGGCGGTAAGTAATTAGTGCATTATTATTCTTCCTTTCTTGGTTGTATTATTGACAACTATTTCAAGAGATTACATCAACATTGATTTCATATAGTGTTTTTGCACATCTTTAGGAACCTTTATAAGACCTTAAAACTAATGAGCCTAGAATTTGAGATTAATAGGTCTAACGCAGATATTGACCTCTAGGCACCTTGAAGCACAATGTATGAACCAAGTATGTGCAGTATGGTGTATGCATGACCTTGGAACACGGCGGTGTGTATAATTGTGATAATATGAAAATTCGTCAAATTCTTTCTCTTGATTATTTTTGCAGATGATTCTTGTTTCATGTTATATCTTCAGCTTGGTTTTCGTCGACTTTCTGCATCTTCAATCATGAATAAATCTCAGATAGATTTGTGCACTTTTTTATGTAATTTGTTTGATTCAGGAGCATTTATTTTGAACACAGACGTGTTCATTGTTCATTCCTAGTTGCAGCATTAACCACAGGCATTTAACTGGAAAATAAAACCAAGTCATGCAAATAAAGTAATTATTATCAAACAAAATTAACAAAACATCAATATTCAATACCTTTATGCAGTATTTTGTGCATGATTGATTGAAAGCCCCTCGTAAGGGGATTGTCTCTAATGGACTAATTTATTTTTTACATCACAATCAGTTGAAAATAAAAACCCCAATGGGCACTCCTGAAAACATAACTAATAGAAAATATATCAAAACTAAATAGATAAGTGAGGTCAAATGTAATAAATCGTAACAAACTGCAATTAAACATAATATAATATGGTCTCAACATTTGTTGTGCACATATCTCGTATCTCATTAATATACTAAAATTATTGATACTAGTTTTCGAAAACTAAAGATCTCTTCTTAAAAAATACTTATAATTGTAGTCTCCAGTAAACATATTTTCCATTTCTATGACACATCATAAGAAAGGATAAGCTAGAGTGTTACTTTGAATATGATCAAGCATCCTTGGTATGCAAATTGTTCACAGAGTATTTCACATATTTCGTAATAGTAAGTAATAAGATCACAAAATCAAAACAATAAACATGATGATTGGTTGTTAGAATGTAAAATCAATCAGAAATATTAATTGAACTACAATTCTGTAAAGTTGATTAGTACAATTAGTAGAATAGCTTTATTGGACAAAGGAGTTAATTAATAAGCTTAATCAGTATATGTATTTAACAGTTTGCTGTCATCATAGCTTTAATATAACTGCTACCGTGCAAAATCTTTTCCTAATCAAAATTCTTAGCTACAGTATAAGAAATGAGTATGAGCAATAGTGTTCAAAATCTTAGTCAAAGTTTTTTATAAAAGTTTAACCTTCTAACCAGTTATGTGGGGGTTGTAAGGAGGAGGAGCAGACCCGTTTACAGGTTGTGGTTGAGGAGAAAAACCAGGTTGAGGTTGTGCTGCGTAGCCAGGTCGAGGAGAAGTAGGATAGCCATGTTGAGGTTGTGCTGGATAACCAGGTTGAGGTTGTGCAGGATAGCCATGTTGAGGTTGTGCAGGATATCCAGGCTGAGGTTGTGCAGGATATCCAGGCTGAGGTTGTGCTGGATAACCAGGTTGAGGTTGTGGTGGGTAACCAGGTTGAGGTTGTAGTGGGTATCTAGGTTGAGGTTGTGCTGGATAACCAGGTTGAGGTTGTGGTGGATAGCTGGGTTGTGGTGGGTAACCAGGGTTTGCGAACTGTGGCTGAGCTGGAGGTTGTTGAGATTGCTGTACGACGTTGATGTTCTGTATAATCGGTTGCGGGGCTGGTGCAGCAGCAGTTTGTTGAATTACCACATTAGTCTGATTTACATTAGCAGTAGTCCTTATTCTCCTCCTCCTCCTCCTGCAGCAGTAGTACCAGCAACCTACCAATATCAGCAAGGACGTTACTCCTCCTCCAATAGAGCCAGTTGCTGCGGATATACGAGAAGTAGAGCTACAGTATGCCTTCCCTGAGGTGCTACTGTAACTACAGGTGTAGTTGCCAGAGCAGTCGATACCGTCCCCTCCGTGATAGCTGTACGCACACGTCGGATAATCTGAAAATGATGAATCGTATAATCTCGACTCAAGTAAAATATCATTAATATTTGTCGAGAAGCGTTTGGATATAATATCTAATTGTCCCAAGTGGAATATATCATAATTATCTGTGGACAAGATCAGAGGTTTGCATTATGTTATATATTATATATAACTGAAAATAGAAAATTCTGATTAATGGAAAATAATTTTTGATACATCACAGTTTGCCTTACCCCCATTTACCATACTATTTTCCTTTCCCCAAACTGTACAATAAATTGGGGTTTACTACATAGATATATTCAAATAAGCAAAAAGATTCTTACTAGTCCAAGCAGTGCTGCAAATATTGATTGAATTGTTACAATAAACGTACGTCCCGCTGAAGGAACCTTCTCCCTCGCACTTTTGATCATAACAATCCCAAGTCAAAGTCTGTACCGTTCCAACCAATGTAAATGTCAGGAGAATCGATGGAAATATCATGGGCATCTTTAAATCACTAGTATTAGAGTATTAGGATATTATGAATATATTTATTATATAATACAGGGTGGGCCAAAAGTCAGTGGGCATACGTTGGCCTTAATAGCTCCGCCGTGCTTTATATTTGAGAGCTGTTGCTTTGCAGATGACATACTGTACTTACTGGTTTGAGGATTCCGTCGTCAAAATTTGAAAATTCGAATATTTTAGACCACACCCATTCAATATTAAAACACTTATATTGTTTTCTCTGAACATGCTGAATGCCTAATTTTTTTCAGAGACGGCAGATTATAAAATGTTGCATATGATCTGAAAAAATGAGGCAAAACGAATTAGAAATGACGAAGTTATCAAGTATTTTCTTTATCTCGTTAACAAAATTGACTGGGTGATTATGTGACACCGTGACACGACACCTTAATTGGGCACTCTTAACAATTCCCATAATGTTTAACGGGGTGGTTAACGGGGTCACCTAATCACGTGATTAGGTAAACCAATCACCTGATCACACGTAATGAATAAACTCGTTATGCTTCATATCTCGGTCATCTGAGAAGCTACAGTTCTAATTTTTTCAGGACTTAAACGTGATTCGAATGGCCAAACACAATTCAATAAAATGCTCAATCCCACTATCCAAACTATCAAATAAATGCAAAAATGAACCTTCTTTTGAAAAAAATGAACTCGAATATTTTTCGATTTGACAAATTCCTCGAACCAGTAGTGGTAGTAAGTCATACCAGAAAGAATTATTTCAATTGGGCACTCAGTAACTGAGCTATTAAGGCCAACGTATGCCCACTGACTTTTGGCCCACCCTGTATAATGTATATTGTATATAATACTTGTTTCAAGTTTAAAATTGAAAGATCACTCAAAGGTTTTGCGAAAACAGTGGAACAAGAGAGATTACTAAAAATGTTGTATTCATATTTATAAGAGGATCAAGAAAATTAAATCCTTAGTTGCCAACAAATAATCCAACATGGATGATTTCGAATTCAACACTTTCAATTCGAAAGTAAATTAGGGGTTTTACAGTCCTATGGACTAACTGGTTTTTTGTTTTGGAATTTTATGCAATTCATCTTTTTGTACTTTACAACCCCGTACAAATGCTGCAAATCCTTAATCAGTAATTATTAAGTTATAATCTCTTTTTAAAGATCACGATATTACATATTTTGATAATTGAAAGTTTTTGTTATCTTTAATCTTTTAATGTAACTATATTATCTAAATATAAATTGATAAAAAGTATAATTAATAAAATATGTTCAATAAAGTGTGTTTATAATTATGATTTATGGTACATTGTTATTTATCATATCTATATTTTAGACTGTAACTTTATTAGTTCAATGGAATAAACCTAGCATGGCGCATGCCTTGGTTGCAGTATCGCTTCACTTATAGGGCCCGATGTAATTGCTAATTGCTATGACCAGTTTACTGGTCAACTGGTGTTTCGGTGTCCCTAATTTTGTTTACACTCGGTCACTTGTCAAGGCATGTAAGGTCATTCGGCGAAATTTTCTTTGAAATGATATACAGGGTGGGCCAAAAGTCAGTGTGCAAACGTTGGCCTTAATAGCTCAGTCACTGAGTGCCCAATTGAAATACTTCCTTCTGGTATGACTTAGTACCACCACTGGTTCGAGGAATTTGTCAACTCGAAAAATATTCGCGTTCATTTTTTTCAAATGGAGGTTCATTTTCACATTTTTTTGATAGTTTGGATAATCGGATCAAGCTAAATGTTATTGAATTGTGTTTGGCCATTCGAATTACGTTTGCCCTGAAAGAATGAGAGTTCTAGCTTCTCAGATGACCGAGATATGAAGCATAACAAGCTTGTTCATTACGTGTGATCAGGTGATTGGTTTACCTAATCACGTGATAAGATTACCCCGTTAACTACCCCGTTAAACATTATGGGAATTGTTAAGGGTGCCCAATTAAGGTGTCGTGTCACGGTGTCACATAATCACCCAGTCAATTTGTTAACGAGATACACAAAATGCTTGTTAACTTCGTCATTTCTAATCCGTTTTGCCTCATTTTTTCAGATCATATGCAACATTTGATAATCTACCGTCTCTAAAAAAATTAGGCGTTCAGGATTTTCAGAGAAAACAATATAGGTGTTTTAATATTGAATGGGCGTGGTCTAAAATATTCGAATTTTCAAATTTTGACGACGGAATCCTCGAACCAGTAAGTACAGTATGCCATCTGCAAAGCAACAGCTCTCAAATATAAAACTCAGCGGAGGTATAAGACCCAACGTTTGCACACTGACTTTTGGCCCACCCTGTATTTGTGTAACAATTTGAAAGTTTATTGATTAAAATAATAATAATACATGAACTGTAATGCCATTTTGTATATACATTCAATCTTGTTCACATCCTCCCATGGTAATGAGAGCCGTTCAATAACTTTTGTTAT